CAAACGAAAAACTCCTGAAAAATTCTACTTCATATACTAATCATAAAGCATCAATAATCGATGGTTCCTAACACTGTTCTATAATTCATGGTAGGTGTATCCATAAGCTACAATGCCTGGGGGTGCTGTAGAGTAAATAGTTGCAATTTCGCCTACAAATTTTACAAGGCATGGTGTAAAATCTAGTAATTCGATAAAAAGGAAAAAAATATCGGTCAATCAAAAGGCGGTCGACAAATTTAAAGATTTTAAAAATTACCTCTGCCGCATATAGCTTATTTCTATCAAAATAAGTATCGATGCCACCAGAAGTATTGCTAGAACTGATCATAGTTCGCTTCTGAATTCTTCGGAGCAGCCAAGCAAATAGTCCCTGTCCGGAAAGGGCTTTACATAAATCAGGGCGGACTTCAAGAATATTCTCTACAGTTCCTGAGTAAAGAAAGAAAGATGAATAAAAGTATTATAAAGATTTATCTAAAATTACCGCTCATCGTTGAATGGAGATTTAATCGCTCTTATCTAGTTTGTCAGTGCAGCTATTAATTGAAGTGTAACAGCCGATGAAAATTGCAACGTGGTTTCTTCCACAAGCACATCCTTTATTTAATTATCCAATGTAAAATGTATTGTGCTTGTTCAAACAAGTGATATAGGCATCAAGCAAGTCGCCTAAATCTAATCGAAGGTTAATTAGGGTACGCATTCAATGTAATGTTCATATTAGTATTGGATCATTCCATAAGTTCTTACTTGTTTTAATACCAAAAAATGTGTCTACGACTTTTGAATTAAAGTAGTACAAATGAAAAAAAAATTAAATTCAAATATTTTGAGCCATTAGAGATGATGATCGTAATAAAACAAGCTTCAAACGATTTTCATGATATAGATTTAGACAGAAAAATTGACAGAAAAGAAAAAGGTAAATTTATCCGGCACTTGCTTTGTTCGCCAGCCAAAAATTTGCAGTTCTTGCGAAGATTTTGGAGTGGCAACGAAACAAGGATGAATTACAATAAGCTATTGAGCAAAATATCATTTTACAACAAGGTTGTTGGGGAATTTTTGAATACACAATCCAAAATGTGTGCAAGGGTTGCTCCGATTTGCACAAACACTTGAAAACAAGAGTATCTTATGAATGAGAAAAACAAACAATAAAAAATGTGCGGCATTACTTGTTGAGAAATTCTGCCGTAAACAATGACTAAATACCTATAAAAAGAAAAAATTTAAAGAAAATTTTGCACAAAAAAAGCATACACGAATATAGAAATTGTAAAACTAAATGATGGTAAATATAGGGCCAAAAATGAGATGGACAACATAGTAAGGAGTTAAAAGCAATAAGATAAAGTAAAAGCAATATGGATGGCACATTTGGAAGAAACGGTGATTAACAAAGTGGTACGCCAAGCAGGCAGAAAAAGAGGAAAAATAAGTTATGAAGTATTTAAAGTAAAAATTTTATGAAAAAACTGTTTACCAAGAGTCTTATGTACACCCTCGGCCTCGTCTTTCGAGGTTTCATCCATCCGCGATAGGTTATGAGCCATTAGCTGTCCAAGGTGACCCTGGAGCACCATAGCATCAATCAAGGGGTCTGTGGCCTCACGACCTGCCTCTGCGAGACCACGTGGCTCGAAAAGCTCATAGAGCAGGTCGAGTACGGCCAGAGCAATATCAGTGTTCTCGTGAGAGAGAAGACCAAGCAGTAGTGATACTGGCCGCGTCTGGCTTGCTAGGATGTGGTATAGAGAGGGATTCGCAGCCAAAATCTTGATTCAAAGCAAAAAATGAGTATAGAATACCATTTCATTAGTTTGGGTGGGGTAGAACCAGCGTTTTCAAGTAGTGAGGAATATTATCTATCAGGTGAATTCAGGCATATTTATTATAAAATTAAGAGATTTGGAGCACAAGTTTAGACATACGCGGTTGGATTAGTAGTTGGAGCAAAAATCAATGAATGTTTGCTATAAGTATTTTACAAGGCTATCTAGAATCATAAACTTTTGGCTTGTTTTTGCCTTAGATCTCTAGTATTAACTAAAAATGAATGAAGAGATAAGTTACGAATCGAAAGACAATATATAATGAGCTGACTTGAAAAACAAAGGGTAAAAATACTTAAAATTAGCTATTGTTATTTACATAGTCTGAGCTTAAACGGTTTCAGGATGAAACTGTACTGATACTCCAGCTTCAGGCGTTAATGAGATGAAGTGTGTAATAAGAAGACAGAAGTGACAGTAATTCTGCAAGTACACAAAGAAGATGCAAGGGCCGTGACCACAACATGGAACAAGCATGCGCAAGGAAGAAGTATGCAAAATGCGGGGAGCTGATGCATAGCATAATGGAAGTTTCAAAGGCAATTACTTCTAGCTCGCGGTAAACATTGTATAAGTTCAAAGACAAAGAACTTTTCCCTGTGTATAGATCAATAAGGAAAATTGAAGAGCAAGTGAGAATTAAACATAGGAAACAAGATATGAGTGATGTAATAATAGCTTAACAAGAAAAACACCACAGTTCGGATAATATAAGCCGGCCATGGGGTCTGAGAGTGGAGAATAAAACAGAATGACATTTTTATGTATAATAGATGCATCCCAGCTGAAATGTGTAAAAACTTGGAGGAAGTCAATAACGATGCTTTTATCATCTTAGTTGGGACGCTGAAAAAAAATTCAGTAGATGCATAGGGATTGGAAACGAATTCAGCTAAGGCAGCTCTTGAGTTTCACCTAGCTCTGTCTCCCAAATGGCAAGCTGGTCGAAAAGAAAAGACTGTGGCTGATTGGCTTTAGAGTTAATTGTGCCCCAAATTAAGGTAATAAGAAGCTAAGGACAGTCACAAATTAACGCTACACCTACTTGCATCTCTTCAAGTGTTTCTTGCAACTCGATTTCGGAGTCCATAAATCTTTTTGGCTGATCCGCATACTTAGTTCGTGCCTCTTGATTTGCAAGTGTTCGCTTTTCTAATGCTAAGGCCAAACGACGAACAGCGGCTTCGTCGACGGAATCCTCTCCTACAGTACTTGGTTCTTCAACAAAAAGGTCCTCATTATATTTTTCTACTTTATTGGCAATAGCAAAGGCAGTTGGCTCATTTCCAGATTCTAGGAAAGTCAAATGATAATCAATTCAAAGTGCAAGCATTAGAATTAATGAAATAATAATAAGAACATAGCGGCAAGACAAGAATAAGACCAAAGAACTAGGGGGG